TTCTGGCTGGTAGGCATCTGGTATTAAGGATATGATTTATGTAGGGTCACTAGTCCAATGACAGCATGAAATCTGGCAGCCTGAATACAGGGAACAGGTGTCAGTAGGCAGCATCCAGAGGCTCAGCAGAAGAGAGCTGCACCAACCCCCGTGGCAAGGGTGCAGGTGATCTTGGGAACTGGGAGAAATTAGGTGACAATAGACAGGGAGCTCAAGATTCTGTTCCTGGGACAAGTGGAAGACCAAGTGTGGCTCCAAGTTGCAGACAAAATGTTTCTATAGTTACATAGTTGTTTTTCCCCTATGCAAATTACAGAGAGTGGTATATTAAGCCTTTTATGACCTGGGAAGCAGCCACTTTTTCTCCTGCCATTTCACAATAGCCATCATATCCTCCAAGAATAACCATAGTATTTGCAGGTCTTCAGCCATTTATTTATTCACTGCAAGGCCAGACTGCAAATCGGTGTCTAAGAGATTCACCATACTTGTAATACATTATACAGCAGGAAATAAGCTTGCAACTTGCTATTTACACTTAGTTTGCGTTGAATGTAAGTGTTATCTGTGAATTTTGTAGATTTGGTATATCTAAAGTAGGTCGTTAGCTCCAAAGGTCAAGGTACTCTTCCCATATACTTTTTTTTTTTTTTCATTGCACAGTTGTTTCAGACAGGACAGTGCTGGGATTCCCAATAAAATCCTATCTCTTCTCAAAAAAATGGAGAAAAAAATCAATAGCTAATCAGTCTACTGCCTGGATACTAACTACTAGGTATTGTGTGTTTGTGTGTGTTTTCTTCTTTTGGTGGATTACAATATAACAAAATAGTGAACTGTTGATTGGTTTGCCAGCTCCTAGGCATCTCTTCTTTCTCAAACGCCAGTTATCTAGTCTTCTCTCAGAGACAGGAACATTTAGACCACTATACTGCCTGTGTTCAACTAAACCTTTACTATCAAATGGCACCAGACAGGAAACGAAGCCAGTCATTTAAAAGTAGAAGGGAAAATATCTAAGTCACAGGTTTATGAAATCAATACTTTTTTTTCCTCACTGAGAAGAGCAGAATTTAACAAGAACAACATTGAATTGTATTTAAGACAGAGGAAATGTGACTTTTGCTGACTATTTTACCTTAAATACTGTACCCAAGTGGTTTTTGTAGGAAGACGGTATACAGAATTCATACACAGAAGAAAGCTGCAGTGACTTTGAATGAAGAACAATGAAAGGTTAATCTTGGACCTCCTCTCCTCTCCTGTCTGTCACCTCTCACAGAAGGCTAGGGTGACATCATATGGTTTCATGACATTGAAGATCATCTGTATTCTGGTTACTCCAAACAGGTATCTCCAGCATGAATCTCAGATCCTGTGTCCAATGTCTGTCTGCTCATCCTCTCCACTGGATGTCTTATGAGTGTCTTAAATATAGCATGTCCACAACTAAGGTCTCTCCAAGACCTGACCCTTCCACTGTCTTCCCCCAGAAAATGACCAGTTATTCTTGCAGGGGCCCAGGACAGACACCTTGACACCCTCTTTGACTCATGCAATCCACCTCAGACCTAATCTGTCAACAAATCTGGTTGTCCTTCTGAGTTTTCCCAGACTCCGACACTTCTCTTCATCTTCATTGCTTTCTCTCTGGTCCAAAACTCCCATCATCTCTCACGTGGCTTATTCCTGTGCCCCCCC